CAAAGATTATTAAAAAGAACAAGCATGTTAAAAACTCTAAAAACTCATATTATTTTTTAAGGAAGGAGTGTATTTTGTTTATTCTTTATCTTTTGATAAAGAATATGAATGAGTTAACAAATTGGCAGATATTATATATGTAAAAATTAATGAGCTATTTAGCAATTAATTTAGAGGAATAGTTTATTGATAACTTCAGTAGATTATTTATAGTTTTTAGAATTTGAAGGTTGACAACTTGCATCTATAATTCAAGTAAGAAATAAAATTTATAATGGAAAGTTATGTCTTTGGAGAGTCAGTATGTTACTCACTGTGCCCATAAAGAAGTTCAGTTAACAGAGACTAGAAAAATACACCTTTGATTTTTCCCATTATATAAGCAATGCATGCTCATTATCACTTGTTAAAACTACACGGCACATAAGAAAAAATGTTAGATTTATAGATTAATAGTAACATGGAGCAAATTCCTGACATATTCTCTTCCATACCCTTCTCTGAAATTACAAAATGGAGATGAAGAAGTTTAAGCTTTGGGACCATAATTCAATTCTCTCCTAACTATTGATTACAAGTGGGGTAGAGAAAAAGGTGTTCGTGGAGAAAGAAAGAAGACCACGTGAGCTGGTCTAATCTCTTTGTAAACAGTCTGATAGCTGATCTTTTGGTAAGAAGACCAGTGATATTTGCTAGTAGGAGAGTCCTCACCTATAAGATACTTTGAGCAGGATATCCTTAGCTTAGAACTGCTTATGGTAACCAGACCCAAGATCTACGGATTAATGGAGCAAGGCTTCCTGAAAAATGTTGTATAGTCTGGGTGTACATATAGATATGAGTGGACATGTTTTACATTCTAAATGTTCTTCTTTTTGTGACAGGACCTGCAAACCTCCTTTGAAATATTATCAAGTATTCTGGACCAGAGAGTGTGATGCAGAAAAGAAGGATCTGGGAGTCATGTGTGATGCCTTTAACCTCTCTCTACTTCATGGGTACCTCCTCATTTCCTCTATCCTTGAAATTATTATAAAGCTTGTATGTAATTCAAACTTGACACTGTTTCTTCTCCTTTGATTTATAGAAACATCGCCTCCAGCGCAGTTCAACACAGGATTTCCTGGTGGTGACAGTGGTGGTGGTTCCTCACCTTCTCCAGTTTCACATCATCTGCAGTCAGACTGTGGGTAACTTTTAGTGCTAAAAATACAAAGGATGACAATTCCACTTATCAGTCAAGTAGAAAAGAAAAGTAGAATAGGAAGTCATATGTTTGAGGAGTCAGTATCTTCCTGTTTTAAGCCCATATTGAAAGTCAATGTTGACAGATTTAAAAAAAAAAAAACACTTTGTTGATTTTTCCAGTTCTAGTTATATGTGCAAAATGCGATGTGTTTTTTATATATCAATACGTTTCATGAATTTGAAAGCACATGTTGTACATAAGGTATAAATTAACTGACTAATGCGAAAAAGAGGGAAGAAGGTATAAAATAAAGCTGTTAAATATGAAGAGATATAAAACTGGGAGTTAAAAAATAAAATAGTGAACAAATGAGATAGGAAAAATGATTTGACAAAAATAATCTGAAGTGAAGCATCATTGTTGGTATTTATGTTAAAGCCAATTGTAGATGTACAGTGAATAATTAACTAGGCCAGCTAGGGTTGCTTTTTTATTATTTTTATGTTGAGACAGGGTCTGTCTTGACTCACTGCAACCTCTGCCTCCCAGTTCAAGTGATTCTCATGCCTCAGCCTCCCAAGTAGCTGGGATGACAAGTGTGCACCACCATGCATGCATAATTTATTTTTGGCATTTTTAGTAGAGACAGAATTTTCCCATTTTGGCTAGACTGGTCTCGAACTCCTGGCCTCAAGTGATCCACTCACCTTAGCTTCCCGAATTGTTGGGATTACAGGTGTGAGCCACTATACCTGGCCAGGGTTACTTAAACTCCGCACATTCAAAGAAAAGGCAAGAACTTGATAAGGTCCTGCGAAATAACTTCTGAGCCCTTGAAATAGTCTTCCTGGCAGAAGTGTTTTTGTATGCCACAAGACCTTGGGCAAGTCTGATAGTTTATGCTAATCAAGTGATTAATCATGAATGACTGTTTTTGTATGCCTGAGGATTTGAGCCTGTCTGTATCAGCCTGACCTCTGGAGGCCTGGAGTCTAAGTAGTAAGGTTAGTCACATGGGACTCTGCATGCCTAAGTGACTGATTCTCAATAAAAACCCTGGATACCAATGGTTGAATGTGTTTCCCTGGTTACTTATATGTGTTGGTAGGAAAATTAAACACTGTCCCTTAAATTCTACAAGATTGCTTTTGGTTTCTGCCAAACTTCACCCATACACCTTTTCCCTTTACTGTTTTTATAATGTATTTTTTTGCTATAATAAGTCATAACTATGAATACAGAAGCTTCTCTGAGTTCTCTGGGTCCTTACAGTGAATCATTAAAATTGAGGTTTTACTTCAAGATCCCCACACAACATATATCTAATTCCATTAATTAAATGAAAATTTAATGGTTTTCAGTGATATTGATAATAACAATTATTAATATATAGCATGCTGCAACTGAGCTGATATGTATGTGTGAGTATATATATATATATATATATATATATATATATATGAAATACATATGTATCTCCTTTAGGGTTGGTTTGCAAATATTTTGATGCCATATCTCTTAATAATCATATGCAAATAAAATAAATAACACTGTGTGGTTCTGCTTTCATACCTATTGCTCTGATACCTGCAGTATCACCCTATTAGCTACTCTGTTAATTGGCATCACCAAGGAACCTCTAGAGCTCTTCAAAGCAGATTCTGAAGAGAAATCATTCATGTTAAGGTAAAAAAGAAGAAAAGTAAGTCAATAGTTTAGCTGTTGATAGTTGCTCTGATGAGAAGCAAATGCTGCACAAAAGTAAGTGAGGAAGGTGAAATGAGGGTGATAGTGTCCAGTCTGATTCCGAAGTTTGAGAAGCTGTGTGGTGCTTGAGTTGCTTGCACACAGCCCAGTAAGCAGTAGATGCTAGTTAATAATGAAATAAAAATATCATTTTTCAAGCATGTTTATTACTTTTTCAAATGGCAAGTTTTTAATAACACAAACACTTCTTAAATTATTCAGGCCCACCACTGAATAAACTATAAGGCATTCAATAGGCCTAAGTGTGTGGGGTAAGAAATGAAAACTAACTAACACTATGTTTCTGTGAAAACAGAAAGTTTTGAAACATCTTATCTATGGCCTTTGAATAATGTAAAATATCAGGCCTCCCTACCTCTGATGTATTTAATCAGAATCTATATATCATGGGACCCAACAGAAATTTAACCATCAACTTATTCTGAGGATGTAGAGCTACATTCTGATGATGTAGCCTGTGATTGTTTGGCTTATTGACTGTAGATCTCATGAAGTTCAGCTTAGTGACATTGTTTATATTCGTTATGGTCAACTGATACAGTGTTTTACATCAATATTTTTCTTGTAATAATAATTATTATATATCAGTATGTTTGCAGCATACCACAGGTTTTAAAGAAATTGTAATCTTAAGACTCCTCATTGGAACCAATTAGCACTTAAAATGTTTATTATGAAAACTCTTATTGTTCATTAATTCTTGCATGCTCAGTTAAATTTTAATGAGCTTATTTATTTAGTTATTGACAATAGGCTCTTTCTATTCTACACGTGCGTTTGATGTTGAGTACTAATGAACTAGAGTAAAATAGTTCTGTTAAAAGAAAAGATCTTCCGTGTGATTCTTTGATCTCTGAAAGAATTGCAATTCTGTTACTCATTAGCTTACAAATGTTGAGAGTAAAGGGCACCATTAACTCATTAGCTTACAAATGTTGAGAGTACGAGTCAGAGAGATGTACTCCTGGCCCAAGTGTGGGAAAAGGAAAAGATTATAGAAGAGTGTTAATCAAAAATTAGCTATATAGATGAATAATTCTGACAGATGCTGTTAGAAAAAGTTATATAATAAAATTATTTGTAAAAAGTAGAATACAATGTATTTTAATGATTAATAATCCACATTTTCATATTAAGTGCTCTGGGTACTTCAAAGGTAAATAAACAAATTAAATACTTTTAAACTCAGTGAATGACTAGTCATCTATCCTCAATGAGTCTTTACTGAGAGTCCACGATGTATCAGTCACCACGTAATGGTGACAAGAAGGTATCATCACTATCCTTCTGGCGGGAGGCAGTTGATTCAATGAGCTGATCATATTTTATTGCCACAGTGCGATTTGACATCATGGGTTAGGTACAATCTGATTCAGTCTACAGGTATAAGAAAAAACACTTGAAAAAGTAAAGAGCTGGCTGGGCACAGTGGCTCTTGCCTGTAATTCCAGCACTTTGAGAGGCAGAGGTGCGGGAATCACCTGAGGTCAGGAGCTTGAGATAAGCCTGGCCAACATGGTGAAACCCCATCTCTACTAAAAGAACAAAAATTATCCGAGCTTGGTGGTGCATACCTGTAATCCCAGCTACTCAGGAGGCTGAGACGGTAGAATTGCTTGAACCTGGGAGGCGGAGATTGCAGTGACCCGAGATTGCGCCACTGCACTCCAGCCTGGACAAGGCTGAGACTAGATCTCAAAAAAAAAAAAAAAAGAAGAAGAAGAAGAAAAAGGAAAGACCTAAGATCTGAAATATGTGTGTTTTTGTGACCACACATGTGCATGCTTGCACTCGTGAGAGATAAAGAGAAGGAGAGTGAAGGAAAAAGAGAAAGTGAGAGGGAGAGAGAGAGATTGAAAAGGGAGCTGGGGATTTCGAGTGGGGGAAGAAGTACAGATGGAGATTGCATTAATTATTTATTTGTTGTCTTTCTCCAGTAAAAAGTTTATAAAATAGAAAGTGTTTATAAAAGTAAAGGTTTATAAAATAGAAGGTGTTTGGTTTCCTTTCAGATGTTTCCTCAGGTAATAACATTGTCTAGAAGATTTCAGGTGCTGAAAAAATACTTTTTAAATAAAATGAACATGGAAATATTCAGTCAAGCTCAGCATAGATTGAAAGATATGTGATATTAAGGCAAGTTAGGGTGGATAGTGTAAACCAGCTCTTGATTTGTTATCACATATTATAGACTGAATGTTTGTGCCCCTTCAAAATTCATGTTAAAGCCTCAATATCCAGTGATTTGGATATGGGTCCTCTAAGGAAATAATTTAGTTTAAATGAGATCATAAGTATTGGATCCTGATCTAATAGGATTAGTGTCCTTTAAAGGTGAGACACTGCACAGCTCTCTTTCCTCTCTCTGTCTCTGTCTTTCTGTCTCTCTGTCTCTCTCTGTCTCTCTGTCTCTCTCTCCCCCCATCTGCCTCCCCTTTGTCTCTATCTTTCTGCCTATACATTAAGAAAAGACCATGTGAGGACATATAGAGAGAGTAGCTGTCTACAAGCCAAAAAGAGAAACCTCATTTGAGACCAAATTTGATGGCATCTTGATCATGGACTTCTAGCTTCCAGAACTATGAGACAATATATATATATATATATATTTTTTTTTAATTTAAGCCATCTAGATTGTGATATTTTTGAATAGCAGCTGAGTAGACTAAGACATTATGTTTCATAATTTAGTATATATTCTATTGCCAGATGGAAGGCCATCTAAAAGTTTTAGGCAAGAGAGTGTTAAAAATCACTGGCTGCAATGTGAAAGATGGTTGTAGGCGGTTATGGAGAAGGGGTCGTAGGAAAGTTTAGATGTAGTTAAGAGGAAGAGTGACATAATTTTGTATCTAATTACATACAGAATGAAGAATTCCTGTGTTTTAAATTTGTTAATTAAATGTTCAATAGTACCATTCAAATTTGGGGTTTGGGCAAGCTGAATGGCTCCGTGTTGGTCGTGTTGAATTTGATGTTGTTATACAGTATCCAAATAAAGACCCCCGAGAAACGGTTGGTACATATGTCTGAAACTCAGAAAGAAGGGTAATGGGATATATACAATTTCTCCTCATTGGGCTATAGACATGAATTCAAGCCATAGAGAGATTTTTAGAAAAGAGAAGAGGAACTAAAAGAGATCCCTAAGACAAAAAAAATATTAAATATTGAAAGAGGACAAAGACAAAGCTTACAATGAAATATGTCCACTCATGGATTCAAAAGATAAAACTAGGGGACTTTTGAGGAACATTTGTTTAAGCTAATTTTCAAAAATGGAAATACAATAAATGTTTTCAGATTAGACATAGTATATTTCTTCAAAAATATGAATACAAACACTTCTTCCATTTGAATCTATTGCAAACTGAAAAATGTGACAGTCTATATTTCAGTATATATTCTACTTATGAAAATTTAATTTCAAAACAAAGAAAATAAAGCTACTGGGAGTATCCATCTTAGCTCTTTTTATGTAGCAATCATTATAAGATGGAAAAATATTTTGCTTTTCAGGGGCATTCATTATTCAAAATCTCCTTAGATTACAACACTGACCTTCTTCCTAAACATGATTTTATAGCCCCTATACAGGTGCAGGAGTCAAATATTTGTGATGAAGGACTATGTATGTCATAAAGTATTGTCAATTATTTAAAAACCAAATATTTTCTTATTACAGAAAATAAAGCTGTAATAAATTTTTCTTTTTATAGATATTAGAGTGGGAAAGAAAAGAGCATTGAAAAAAATGGTGAGTAAACAAATGGTGAGTAAAGCCTTGATCCTAAGACAATGTAATCACATAATAAAACAACAATAAACCACATAATAAAACAAGATGAAAAAATGACAGACTTTATAATAAGCATATAGTGATTTGCTTATGACATTTTAAATTTCTGATTATTTGAATATATTTCATTCTTTATACTTGCATACTTTATATAGAGAGACTTCACTTTTAAAAACTATTCTATGTAGTTTTTACATACATAGAATAGTTGACATGACATTGAGAGGACAAAAAATATGCAGAAAGCCTTTTTTTCTTTCTATTTCAAAAGCCACATTGTCATAGGATCCTTAGGGTGTCCCTTTTCAAGCCAGAAACCTCTGTGGTCCATGGTGCCTTTGCCTGAGTTTTGCTTGGGCCCACTGGGCTTGTTCCACCCTTCGGCCCAGCAGGCTTTGCTCAGCCACGCTACCGGCCTTGATCCCATGCCTGACAAGGTTGAGCCAGGTGCAGGTGCAGAGCAGCAAGGGGTGTGTGAGCGAGTGAGCATGGGGTCCAGCCACTTTGCACAGCCAGGAAGATTGGCTGCTACAGTAGAGCGAACAGTTCCAGGTGTTGGCACAGGTGCCAGCTCTGTGCAAGACTGTGGCTGGATCAGATGTACTGCAAGTGCCTTCCACTGTGGGCACCAGAATGTGGATGAAGGAAACACAATGCATCTCAGAAGCTTGGAGATGCCAGGAACCACAGAACCCCAAAGAAGGTGTCACAGCCTTGGCTTGGAGAGCACCTAGGTCTGGGGTTTCCAAAGGGCTGCAGTGCATCTTTTTTGTTGTTGCCTGCACCATTGTGAGCAGGGCTGGGGCAGGGGAGGTATTTCAGCCCATTTGTGTTACAGCTTTTTCAGTCACACCATTCAGTGGGTCCCAAGTTCTTTCCCTGCATCCAAGAAGAATGAGGTATGTGGACAATGGAAAGTGAGCAAGGTGGAGAGGAGCTTTATTGAGTGACAGAACAGCTGTCAGGAGACCTGAAGTGGGTAGCCCCTTTCTGCAGGCAGGCCATCCTCATAAGTGTCCAGCTCTCAGCAGACAGGAGACTCCTAGTGGGTAGCTCCTTTCTGCAGGCAAGCCATCCAGATGTGGTGTGAATCTGGCTGAGTCTGGGGGTTTGATGTCCTCAAAATGAAGAAAGTGCCTGTTGATTTGTCCATGGGCAGCCATGGGGTCGGAGGAGGTCTGAAAAGGTACCATTCGACTGGCTGAATGGTCATCAATGAAGTTCTCCCTCCAGGCTGTGGATTTCACCCAGAACTGGCAGCCTGGACCCCAGGCTTCAGGCTGTTACTGTCTTGAAGAAGAGGTTTCACCAGGGACCCACCCCTTCCTGCCTAGAAATCTGTCTGCCTTCTGCTACCTTCAGCATGCCATCCACAGCATCCAGGATATGCATGCTGAGGGATGCCTGCAGGCCAGTTCTGAGCTGGCCTTAACCTCACCCAGCTCTCGTCTGTGCTGGTTGGTGCCCAAAGTCCAAAGGGGTCAAAGGGGGTGGGTGTCTTTATCAGCAGCATGAGAATAGACTAATACATTATGAGACCCATGTGTTTCCTAACACATCCAGGAATAAGAAACACTGCTTATTATAAGCAATATGTGAGAATTTTTACTTGGAAGACTATCTTTGGGACAAATTAGATTTGTCGTGGTTTCCCTGACTTTCAGATTTCTAAAGCAATAGTCTAGTTTTGGAAGAATTCATAATTTCTAAAATATTTATTAAATATTTATCTAATTGTTAAAGTGTGACAATTAATTGGTTAATAAGAGCTAACCCAGGTGTTCTGAAACCTAAGGGTTTTACAACTTTGATGGCCTCTTTTAAGCAGAGGATGTAAAATTACAGAGACTAAATTAGGTAATTTGTGTCCATTTATTTTTTATTAAGAAATAAAATGACAACAAATTACAAATTGTAGAATGCTTATTAATACCACAAGCATCATAAAAGTCTGAAAAAAAAATAATTGCTACATGAATCTCCTAATTTCTAATTGTTAAAATATTTTTGGCTTGCATGCTCAGATTTCCTTTTCATATAGAAACAATTTTACAACTTTATGTATTTAGAGCAGTTTTTGGTTTATAGCAAAATTGAGTAGAAGGTACAGAGATTTCCCACTTATCTCCTGCTCCAGTGTATGCATAGCTGTTGCCATTGTGAACATTCCTTATGAAAGTGTTATATTTGTTACTACTAATGAACTCTTAAATTGACATCATAATCATCCAGAGTTCATAATTTCTCTTCATTAGGTTTCATCCTTGGTATATATTTTATGAGTTTGAACAAATATATAGTGACATGGATACATAATTATAGTATCATATATAATGCTTTTACTACCCTAAAAATTTTCTCTTCTCTGCCATGAATCTTACCTCTGCTCCCCAATCTTACTTGGCAATCATTGGCTATTTTTTCATTCTCCATATTTATTCCTTTTTTTCAGAATGTCATATAGTTGGAATCCTCTTGTATCCTTTATGAGATGGCTTCTTTCACTTATTATTGTAGCCTTAAGGTTCCTCAAGATCTTCACATGGCTTGATAGCTTTTTTAACACTTAATAATGTTACACTGTATGGATGTACCACAGCTTGTTTGTCCACTCACCTACTGAAGGTTATCCTGATTGTGTCCAAGTTTTGGCAATTTTGAATAAAGCTGCTAAAAACATCTGTGTGCAGATTTTTGTGTGTACATTCATTTTCAAATACATGGGTAAATGTCAAAGAGCACAGTTGTGGGATATATGCCCAGAACATGTATAAATTTGATTTGTATTTCTTTAATGATGAGTGATGATAATTTTTCATATGTTTGTTGGCCTCATATATGTCTTCTTTTGAAAAGTGTCTGTTCATATCCGTCACCCACTTTTAAATGGGGTTGTTTTTTTCTTGTAAATCTGTTTTAGTTCTTTGTAGATTCTGGATATAAGCCCTTTGTCAGATGAATGGACTGCAAAATTTTTTTCCCATTCTGTTTGTTGACAGTTCACTCTAGTGATTATTTCTTTTGCTTTACAGAAGCTCTGGAGTTTAATTAGATCCCATTTGTCTATTTTGGCTTTTGTTGCCAATGCTTTTGGTGTTTTAGTCATGAAGTCCTTGCCTATGACTATGTCCTGAATGGTTTTGCCTAGGTTTCTTCTAGAGTTTTTATGGCCTTAGGTCTTATGTTTAAGTCCTTAATCCATCTGGAGTTAATTTTAGCATAAGGTGTCAGGAAGGGGCCCAGTTTCTGCTTTCTGCACATGGCTAGCCAGTTTTCCCAACACCATTTATTAAATAGGGAATCCTTTCCCCATTGCTTGTTTTTGTCAGGTTTGTCAAAGATCAGATGGTTGTCAATGTCCTCAAGGACCTAGAAATAGAAATTCCATTTGACCCAGCAATCTCATTACTGGATATATAGCCAAAGCATTATAAATCATTCTACTATAAAGACACATGAACATGTATGTTCATTGTGGCATGGTTTACAATAGCAAAGACCTGGAACCAATCCAAATGCCCAACAATGATACACTGGACAAGGAAAATGTGGCACATATACACCATGGAATACTATGCAGCCATAAAAAATGATGAGTTGTGTCCTTTGTAGGGACATGGATGAATCTGGAAACCATCATTCTCAGCAAATGGACACAAGAACAGAAAATCAAACACTACATGTTATCACTCATAGGTGGGTGTTGAACAATGAGAACACATGGACACAGGGAGGTGAGCACCACACACTGGGGTCTGTTGCGGGGGACTAGGGGAGGGACAGCGGAGGGTAGGGAGGTTCAGGAGGGATAACATGGGGATAAATGCAAGATATAGGTGAAGGGGTGATGGAAGCAGCAAACCACATTGCCATGTATGTACCTATGCAACAATCCTGCATGATCTGCACATGTACCCAAGAACCTAAAGTGCAATAATAAAAAAAAAAAACTGTATAAAATTGTAAGAATTTGTCAAACCATCTTCCAAAGTGGCTATACAATTTTGCATTTCTACCAGCAAAGGATAAAAGTTTCTGTTGTACCACATTCTTGTCAGCATTTGGTATTGTCAGTATGATAATTTTTTGGCCATTCTAAGTGTGTTATGGTATGTCATTACTGTTTTAATGTGCATTTTTTCCCTGATGAAATTTGATGCAGAGCATCTTTTCATATGTTAATTTGCCATTTATGTATCATATGAGTTGTCTGTTACTGTCTTCAGCTAATTTTTTTAAACCAACTTTTCTTATTGTTGAGTTTTAAGAGTTCTTTGTATATTTTCAGTAAAAGTCTGTTATCATATTTGTCTTTTGCAAATATTTTGTCCCATTTTGTGGTTTGTCTTTTCAGTGTCTTACTGTCTTTTTCAAAGCTAAAGTCTGAAAGAGAGAACGTTCTTTCTAACTTTTTAAATTATGAATTAGTGCTGATATTTGTCAAATTCTTTGTCTACCACTATTGATATAATCATGCAATTATTTTAGCCTGTTGATGTAATAAATTGCATTAAATTTTTTTTAAATGTTAAACCAACCTTATATACCTTGGTTAAATCCCACTTGGTCCTGGCGAATAATTTTTTTTAATGAACATTGTTGTCTATAGCTTTGCTACTTTTTTGAGAATTTTTTCTTTGATAATTTTGAGAGATATTAGTCTTTAGTTTTCTTTTCTTGTATATCTTTGTTTTTTGTGGTGATAGTAATGGTAGTATTATAGAATAACTTAGCAAGTAGGCCTGCCACTTCTACTCTCTGAAGCAGATTATGATTAGTATAATTTTATCCTTAAATATTTGATAGAATTTATTAATAAACCCATCTCATGCTGGTGCTTTCTGTTTTGGAAAGTTATTATTTATTCAATTTATAATAGATATAGTCCTATTCAGATTATTTCTTCTTGTGTGAGTTTTTTGGCAATTTGCCTCTTTTAAGAAAATGCTTTTTTAGTCTAGGTTTTCAAATTTGTAGGCATAGAGTTGTTCATCATATTGCCTTTTTATCCTTTCAGGGTTCATGGGATCTGTAGTGATGCCTTCTTTTATTTCTGATATTAATAACTTGTGTCGTCTCTTTTATTTCTTAGTCTGATTAGAGATTTATTTCATTGACCTTTTCAAAGAAACAGCTTTTGCTTTTCTCTATTGATTTCCTGATTTAAATTTTATTGATTTTGTTTTTAATTATTGTTATTTCCTTCTTCTTCCTTTGGATTTAATTTGCTTTTTATTTAAATTTAATTTATTAATTTTTAAATCGTTTCTAATATATTTTAATGCTATGATTTTCCTTAGCACCACTTTCACTGCATCTCACAAGTAGTAATAAATTGTGTTTTTATTTCTATTTAGTTCAAAATATTTTAGATGTTCTTCTTTGACCTATTTGTTGTTTAGATGTGTGTTGTTTAGTCTCCCTGTATTTGGGGATTTTCCAGTTATCTTTCTGTTATTAACTTATCATTTAATTCCACTGTGCTCTCAGAGTAGACATTGTATGATTTTTATTGTTTTAAATATGTTAAAGTGTGTTTTATGGTACAAAATGTGGTCTATTTTTGTGAATGTTACTTGTGAGCTTTAGACGAATGTGTATTATACTGTCGTTGGATGAAATAGTTTGTAGATGTCTATTCTATTCAGTTAATTGATCATTTTGTTGGTTCAACTATGTCCTTTCTGATTTTCTGCCTTATGGATCCGTCAATTTCTGACAAATGGGTATTGATGTTTCCAGTTATGATAGTAGATTATTTATTTCTTTTTGAAGTACTATTAATTTTTTCCTTATGTTGTTTGATGGTCTGTTTTTGGGTGCTCACACATCAAGAATTGTGGTATCTTCTTGGAGAAATGACTCTATATTGTCATATAACACTTTTCTCTATCCCTGTTAACTTCCATTGCTTTGAAGCCTGCCTTGTCTAAAAATAATACAACTGTTTCTGCGTTCTTTTGATTCGTGTTAGCATGGTATATTTTTATTCAACCATTTACTTTTAATTCATATGTCTTTATATTTACAATGGATTTCTTATAGAAAGTATATAACACTGTTTTGTTTTTTGACCCACTATGACAACCTCTGTCTCTTAATGTGTTCAAAGTGTTTATTGGTATGGTTAACAACTTCCATATTTGTGATCTTTTTCTATTTGTTTCCCTTGTTCTTTTTGTCTGTTTTTGTTTTCTACTCCTTTTCTGTGTTTTGTGGTATTCAACTGAACATTTGATACGATTCAATTTTATCTATCTTCTTAGCATACCAGTTATGTATCCTGTTTTTTAGTTTTTATGTTGATTTCCCTGGTATTTGTAATATGCATGTATAAGGAATCCAAATCCATTTTCAAATAACATTATAAAACTTTACATGTAATGTAAGGACTTTCTAATAACAAAAGAATTCTAATTCCTCCCCATCTTTTGTATGATTGTGGTAATTTATTTCATTTGTACATATATACATACACATAACATATATAAGTACAATATACTTGATTATTGTATTAATACATTCTCACACTGCTAATAAAGACTAACTGGAGACTGTGTTAACTAATAAATAAAAATGGTTTAATTGATTCACGTTGAGCATGTCTGAGGAGGCCTCAGAAAATTTACAATCATGACTAAAGTGGAAGCAAACATATCCTTCACCTGGGAGCAGCAAGAAGCAGTGCAGAGTGAGTGGGGGGAAGCTCCTTATAAATCCAACATATCTCTTGAAAATTCAGTATCATGAGAACAGTATGGGGGAAAGTGTCACCCTAATTCAATTACCTCTATCTGGTTCTGCCCTTGACATGAGGGGATTACTTCAAGGTGAAATTTGGATGGGAACACAGAATCAAACCATATCAATTATGTATATGTCAACATACATAATAGAATATACAATTGAATTTGTTGCTATTATTATTTTGAACAAAATTTTGTTAGATTAAGAGTAAGAAAAATTAAAATTTTAATTTTACTTCATTTATTCCTTCTTTGATGCTCTTTCTTCATCCAGATTTCTAGCCTATATCGTTTTCCTTCTTTCTAAAGAAATTTAATATTTCTTACAAGGCAACTACCGACAACAGATTCTATCATTTATTATTTGTCTGAGGAAGTCTTTCTTTTTTTTTCACTTTGGAAAGAATTGTTTATGGTACAGAGTTCTAGGTTGGTATTTCTTCTCTACGAACAGTTTAAATATTTCAATCCATTTTGTCCTTGCTTGCATTTTTTGAGAAGTCAGATGCAATTATTTTATTTTGAGGTAAAGTGTCTCTATCTTCTGGTTGCTTTCAGAGTTTTTTCTTCTTTTTTTTATAGTTAAAAATGATATTCCTAGGTATCATTTGGAGTTTATTTTTGTTTTGTTTTGCATTTATCTTGCTTAGTTTTTTCCTGTTTTTTCATTGTTTCTTCTTTTTTGTATGTGCAGAGGAAGCATTTGATCGTCTTTTTATAGTCCTACTTTTTTAGTGAGCTTATATTTCTTGAGTGAACTTTTAAGTGTCTCAGTTTTTTCTCTTCCCTTCAGTGGGTAAGGATGGTTACAGTGGGCTGGAGTTGGGTTGTTCTATTCTCACAAATGGAAGGTTACAGCTGACTGAAATTAGGCATTTCCCTCTCTCGAGGTTAGTTAGGCTCTGATAATGCACCTGCAGGTTAGGTCTTCCTTAACTACTTTCTCCTGAGTCGGGCCTTGTTAAGAAAAACAGAGTGCTATTGTATGTTTCAAAATGGTTCCTTTCTCCTGCCTCTGCTTGAACCCGGGGGATTTTTCTCTGACACTTACTTTGGGAACCTGCTTGAAGTTCTGAAGGTAAAACTTACAATATTATGCTCTCTCCTTGTGACTTGGTCTTCCTGGAGCTTTTAACTCTCAGCGTTGTCTGCATTAAGTCTAGAGCAAATCTTCAATTATGATTGAGGTTTTCCTATCCAGGCTCTGGTCCCTATAGTGTTTTTTTTGTTTGTTTGTTTGTTTTTGCTGATGAGTCTCTGTTCCTGTAAGCCATGATTTTCTGCATTTGCTTGTTTGTCTGCCTAAACTTGAAGACAGCGGTTTTCCCCTTGTTGCCATCCGTTATGGATCCAAGAAGAGTTGTTGATTTTTTGTTTAGTTTATTACTTGTTAGAAGAGTGTTGACTTCCAAACATACATAGAAATGGAAGTCTGTGACTGATTTTATGATACAGTTTTCTGTAGAGAAAATAGAAAGGTATTTCAGTGTTACCTCTATTGTGTTGGTCAGAATTTGTTTTTTATTATTGAGCTTTGAATCTGTTTATGGACTTGTCCACTGTTTGTAACAGTACTATAGATGTTTGATGTATAAACTATGAATTCCGTTAATTTCTCTTTTGTATAATTTCCCATTTAAAAATATAAAAGAACTGTGCATACATGGTACATATATTGCATTATTTAGTATATTTCTACCAGGAGAATTTGACTAGGAGTTGCTTAGAATGAAATCTTGCGCTTTTAATTTTGTTCATAAAATTATTGAAAGAATTTTCATCAACTTCTCATGTTATTCATTTCAAATCTTGTTTCTCTTCCACTGTGCACATAGATGCAATGCAAAATGCGACAGGGCATATTCCATCATGCTAAGTTCTCAGCCCCTGTGCCTCCATCTCTTGATGCTAGGTAAGGTGGCATAGAGAAAGCCATCTCTACCAGATGCTTACTAATAATCTAACTTATGTAAAAGTCACTGAAATTCACATTAGGACATTAATCTACACCTTAAATAAATGTAGCATGAATTCAGCTTTCGCTTCCTGGATCCTCAAAATTTTCAAAACCACTCTAGCAATGTGTGATAGTTTATAATGAACAGGAGTTTCACGTGATTGCAGTTAAAAAATTATCCTTGCAAAACTTAAAAAAATGTAGATCACATGAACACATCACTAAGATTTCTTCCACAGTAACAGAGAGGTTCTCTGAAAATGAGAAGCCCTGAAAGTTAAGCTTCAGCAGCTTCACATTAATCTACTAGAATTTTATTCTTAACCATAGATTTTTAGTTACTAAAAACAGCTTCCTAGTAACAATAATACATCATACCCCTCAGTGACTGGCAAGGTGCTTAATTATAGGCTGAAATATGGGTTATTTTGTATAAGGAAATAATTGCTACAATTATCTTTAGAACTAATATGCATTTAAATGAAATTTTTTTTTAAAAATGTTCTAATTGTCTTGATTTTGAAAAATTTCCAAATCTCATTCTTATGGAAATCACAGGTCTTACAATACATGAGTTCTTAAGAGAAATCATTTTAGTGATGACTAATTACTGGAATGTCAAACATAACGTTTGCACTTTATATTTTCCATTTATAAATAATGTTTTCCCTAAGAATCAAATTTATTGTGAAATATAAAAATGATCAGAAATTATAAATTAAAATATATGTAAATTTTATTAAAAACAGGACTATACAAAATTTTATTTTTATAAGAATAGCTTTATTTTAAATAAATTGCTCAAGTATCAACTGGTATAGTAGTTTTTAAAAAGTTATGTTGCTTGAGAGTACAATCTGACAGTTTATACACACCAAAACCTATTTGTCTGTTACGACTTTCATGCACTTACTTTTATAAATAAGTAATGGGAAGTGAATTCATATAAGTGATAAAACGACTTTGATAACACTAGAGTTGGCACCTTTTAGCTGTAACAAACTGAAATAAATCCTTAGTGACTTGGAACATATTTTCACTTCAGCATTAAATTTAGTGAAGTTTTCTCTTATTATAAGCTTTAAGGTTGAGCTTAGTTGTTCATTTATTTCTATTCCATAGAGAATATTGAGAGCTATTTTCAGAAATCAGATCTACACTCTCCAAAGATAAATATTTTAAACAAATACAAGAAGCCTTCCAAGGGAATCTTGTGGGCTTATAATAAGTAGTTTTGTAAAATAAATAAATAAATGTAGATACATTAAAAAACTCACTGCTATTGAAGATTTTTCTTTGACTCTGTAATGACTTCCTCATTGTGATTTACAGTTTTAAAATATGTCTGAAAAGGAACAAAATATAAGAGTAATTCTTTTTTAAACCTGACAGCTGTGTTCAGGCTTTCTTCTTAGTGTTGATCATGGCATTAGAGCATAATTTCTTCAACATAAAGAATTTCTAGTATAATTCTGAAAAATACAGATTTCATCTAAACAAAGTATTCCACATTATTGGAAACAACAAATGGTCATAAAAATTGATTTTTGTGTACAATAGCTTAAAAATGTGTAGAAAATATATTAATAAGAGATGTATAGCATCCAAGAACTATATTTCATCCCAATGCCTTTATTTTATAAAATATTTGTCTTTGCATCAAATGAGGACATTATTATGTGTGGCCAAAGAGCAGCATAAACAATTCAATG